TTTTGCTATATTTCAGTGACAACAATTTAAAATGATTTCCATAATGTCAAAATGATTAACGGAAGGAAATCATATTTGTGCAAAATGTAAAAAATGTAAAAAATAAAATAAAAAATATCTTTGTATATTAAGAAAATATCGCTTGTGTTTTTAGTTTATTCAACAATAAAAACTCGCAACTAGAATAATTCAATTAGTAACTAAAATAAAAAACTAACAAGTTTATTTTCTTTAATCAATCAATAAAATTCAAATTTAGTACAAAAATTTGGTATGAAAGAAGCAATTGAGTGCGTTTCTCATTTTTCAAAATATTTTAAATTTATTTGCTAGTTCAATCTTATCATTTTAACAGCAAGAATAAAATGACAAAATAATAGTATCAGTTAATTCTGTTAACACAAATTTAATCTCTACAAGGTACTGATAACTTGCTTGAAAAATAAGCAAAAAATGATACAATAATTAAGCGAAAAATTCATTAACGTTTTTGTTTTTCTCATCTTTTTCATTATGTGAAGCACAATGCAGTCGTCATAAATTCAAAAGCAAATAATAATTATTTGAATTTAATAAAGTCAGCATGCAAAATGTGATAGATCATAAATGTATGCAAGTTCTTATTTTCTATATTTTCTTCATAACATTAATAAAATACAAAAAATAGACAAAGACATTAAAATGATATTAATAATTGCTATTTTTTTTTCCTATTTTTTGTACTGACTTTTGTATCCATCGCTGGTAGCTCTTTTGTATTTGCATCTTTTTGGGCCAAATCTGAAATTCCCAATAAAATCATATAGTATTATATTTTAATCTATGTAAATACTGAATATTAAAAATTATTATTTTTATCATGAGAGACTTTTTTCCCACGAAATTTTGATATTCTGTAAGCAAAAAAATGGTTATTATTTGTTTAAAAAATTAGTAAATTTTAAAAATGTTCTTTCTATGCTTGAAAATTATAATTTGCTTATAGATTGAAAAGCAAAGAACATTCTCTATAAAAGGGAAATAATAGTACACAAAGTGATACTAAGTATGCTGCTATATAAGATAAAAATATGAATAAAATAAGAATGTAAAGAAACAAGAATGGAAAAAATAGACACTAATTAAATAAAATAGATAAATCAGTAATTAAAGGCATAGTTATATTTAAGATGCAATAAGTAAATATGCCTACAGTAATAGTGATAGATAATAATTTTTAGTATTCAGAAATGCTCAAAAAATATTTGCTAAATAAATCTCATTCTATTTTAAAAAAATAAATATTAAAAAGAAAGAAATAATAACTAATGTAAGTACGTTTTTCAAATTGGATTTGAAAAAAACTGATATGAAGAAAAAATGAATTAATAAGAAATGTAAAAATTTGAGAGGTAAAAATGATTGCAACAGTAAGTAAAAAATTATACTTTTTCTGACAGACGGTATTTTAAGGGATTTATCAGCATCATTATCTGAAATGTATAAAAAAGTTAGCGATAAAAAAAATTTGAAAATTGTGGTTTATAAATTTTTTCAGTTAATTTTTACTGTTTAATTATTCATGTAAATGACTAAATATCAGTGTAATGAATAATCAAACGATAATATGATACAAGTTATTATCTATATATGATAGTATTTATTATTTGTTCAGTTTAAATGCAGTAATATAAAATAATAAGATTAAAAAAAATCCAATCATTATAATATAATAATTGACCAAAGACATACCGTATAAGTGACATAATAAAACAGCTATGAAGCAAAAATTATTTATATTTATTATATAAGAAATTTTAATATTACTAAATAATGAGATTAAAAAAAGTAAACGGTATTGTAGCAATAATTACAAAATACCTGAAGTGTTGAGAACTTTTTGAGGTCGTGGACTATCTGGTGTGATAGTAGGTGGTGCAAGATTTGCTTTCATCTATAAGCAAAGCTATTGCATTCATTATCTTGCATAACTTGATAAATATAGTATTGCTTAAAATTTTTACTATTATCTGCTTAATTGGTGTTAACTTAATTAGTATTATTCCAACAATAATAACTAGAAATTAAGTAAACAAAGTATATTTGCTTTTTTTTTCTCAAAAAACTGTGAACAAAAAAAGATGAAAATAGAGCTATAATTTAATAAATCTATGTGATATACATTCATTATAAAATTTGTTTGCTTTTTCTTCAAGCAAATTGTGTATTTTTGTATTGGATGTAAGGGAAAAAGTAACAAGCATTTGATCAGTTGATTTAACAGCCATTTGTCGTTTGAAATGCTCTCTCCGAGTTGCTGTGGTATCCATCACTGCCACACTAACATTATTTTATTTGTAAATTTAGGTTTATATCTAAAGTAATTCATATTTCATGCCATATATAGCTTGTATATAATACTGTTCCCTTCAAACTAAATAAAAAGGTAAGAATAAGAAAATTTTGATTGATTAACTGTAAATATTTGAAATAATCTAAAATATGTATTATTTTTTGTTATCATATTCAATACATTTATCAAATACGCTAAAAAAATCTCAACCTTTTATTTACTAAACATATAAAATTCAAATTTTTGTAATAAATAACAATATATATTAACATGCATAATTCAATTTTATTTTATAAAATTGAATTTTATAATAATAATTGCTATAATAATTAACTGTAATAAAGGCCACAATAAAATAAACATGATAACAAACTAAAAATGAAATCATAAAGTTTTAGATTAGATTAAAAAGTAATAAAAATTATTTTACGTTGCAAATACTTTAAAATACGCTAAATAATAAAGCAGTCAAAAGTTTTATTCCAATTTTCTCAATCGTTTTTTAATCCTTTCATTCTTTTTTGAATAAAATGAATGAGATTTTTATTAATATCTACTGTGAAAAGTTAAAATTTTTCTTGCTATTCGAATAAAATCAATTTTATAAAATATCTAATTCAGTTATGATTTGAGTAAAATAGATCTCAACATTATCAAAATTGTTTCAACCGTTTAACTTACTTTTCTTTCGTCCAGACTTTGAATTGAAATTATCAATTCGACAAGTTAGCTTGTGAAGTATTAGTGAGCACTTTTAAACCAATTGCAATTTTAAATATTTTAGCTGACAATATTGAAATTAAAAAAGTTCTAGCTCTAAAATAGAACATATTTATGTATTTCTTTTCTACTTTTGATAACAAACAAAATTTTCAGAAAGACTACTGTCACATACACACGCAAAATAATTAACAATTCATATAATATTTTTTATAAAATATCCAGCAAAAAAGTTCTACCATATTCTATTCTTATATTTTAAAGTACTTTTGTATTAGCTTTTATCATATAAGCTATTTCTAAAATTTGTTTTACTTGACACATGTGCAATAAATTAATTATTTTTTTTAAATAACAAAAAGTATAGCATGTAATTTATTAATGTTGTCAAGAAAAAAACAAGTTAGCACTAAAATATTATTAGTAATTTAAAAGATTACTAATAATGATTTTTTATTACAAGTATTTAATTTTTCAAGCAGTATTTATGACAAAATTTAATAACTAACTGAAAAATCATTGCTCAAATTTTAATAGAGTGCTAATCTAAAATAATAATAATAGTTTACCAGTAAAGTTGATTTCAAATACATTTTAATAAAGTTGATGATTTAAAGAAGATATCAGAAAGTGACAAGAAGATAATAAAAACGATTAAAACAATTTTGATGTAAGAAAGGAAAATTTTCATTTACATAAAAGTTTTTTTTATAGGAAATGAAAAGTATAATTGCTAAGCAGTGCTATTAGAGCAAAAGTAAGTACTAAGAGAATGTAGCATGAAGTAGTCTGACAAAATAAAATAATGCACAAAAGATAAAAAATTAAAAAATTATTGCAGCATGAAGAAGTGAGTGAAAAATAACTCTTCTTTTGCCCTAAAAAAATCGCTTTTTTCTTTTTTTTCTGTTTTTTTTCTTTTTTGTTGTTGAATACGTGAAAAAAACTTAAAGTAAAATTGTGAATTTTGCTGGAAAAAAGAATGATATTTAGGAATAGAAAAGACAAACTTGTGTCCATGGTGACGATAAATGTATTTTTGATAATTATCAGAGTGCAATTTGTCTCTTAAAATAAAAATCAGCAAGTAAATTCGATACAAGAATAATAAAATTTGCGTATTTTTTAGTTATAATTTAAGAATAAAATGGTTTGTATACAAAAATTATCTTTTTAATAGCCTCACTTCTTTTATGCTGTTTTATTTTAGCTTTATTTCTCATATATATATATATATATATATATATATATATATATATATATAT